TTTCTAGATCTAAATGCAAAAAGAACAAACGAAGGCACGATCAAAAAGCCCATCTATAGAAAAGAAACCTGGACTGGTCAATACCTTCACTGTAACAGCTTTTGTCCCATAAGCTATAAACGTGAATTAGTGAGGATTTGTACGGCAGAGACAGGAATCTATGCTCACCAAACAAGGTCAAAGAAGAATTAGATTTCGTCGAGAAATGCCTAAGAGAAAATGGATACCCTAAGGAATTTATACAGAAGTTTAGCAGAGAAAAAAGATAAGAAAGAAAAACACCCAACTGTAGAAAAGAAAAATGTGTTTATTAGTATCTCATTCAAAGGAGATACAGTGTCACAAAAAATTGACAAAAGACTGAAAGGTGCAATAAAAAGAAGCTTCCCGGTAGCAAAACTCATAGCATTATAAACCACCAATCCTTCTATAAGCCACTCAAAACTGGATAAATACCCTGCTGACGTCACCTTCAACTGCGTTTATCAATTTACGCACACTTGTGGGAGCGAGTACATTGGAAGGACGGAAAGAAAGGCTTCTATCCGATTTTCTGAACATATTCCAAGAAACCTGTGCCTGAAAGGAAGCATATATTCTCATATCGTTGATACCGGACATCTCGTAGATATTTCCAAGTCCTTCAAAATATTAAATAAACAAAGGACAGCAAATTTGTCGAAGCGATCGCAATCAAAAGATTTAAACCAACCGGACTTATGCATACAGAAAGAGAGCCTGATTAATTAATCTCTCACTCCCTTGGTAACTGGATTTTCATTTTCATTTTGATTACATCAATTAGTCATCTAATTCAGTGATCTCAACTCACTGAGCGAATCTCCATCTGATTAACTATAACCACTTTTGCCTTTTGAGTTGCTATGTGAACCTACAAGCTAACACTGTTTGTTAATTTTTTTCTGTTTTCTGCCTTTCCCCTCCCCGCCCCACTCTTTTCAACTTTAAAAGCGTATAAATTGATGATGAAAACTTAAACTAAAAATTGTAATACTTTCATTTTGGATGTGTTAATTTTATAGTATTTTTTCTCTACCAACACTCAAACATTAAAGTATGTTATTATCATCTCTACAACCATTGTAATTTTTGGTAGGGGTGTGCAACTGATGAGAACCTGTGAAATAGAATGTTTTTGATGTGGTTTTGTTTTCTGAGCTGGATGGTTAATTTACGAAGCTTTCATCACCTTACTGGGTGACATCTTCAGCGCATACTTCAATTTGAAGTGAGCTTTTAGATTTCGCCACGAGTTTATTAATCATCTCTCCTGGTGACCTTGGACATGATTGGTTGTTTATATGTGTTTTTGCAGCTTCTAGGTTACTTGTATTGGAACCGGTTGTTTCTTTGACTTGAACTTTGGCCCTTTGTGTGTGAAGTTTCTTTCTTATTGGTTGATAAATTTTGCTTTCATTTTATACTGCGAATTTCATCTTCCTTTCTTCATTTAAAAACTCATTAGACCATTAACTAACAAGTATTATTATTTTATATTATTACCTTGCGTTCCGAGTGGAACATAGGGATTCAGCAACACACATCCACTTTCGTCTATTTTCTGCTTTCCTCTTCAGCTGTCTGACTCCACGATTGTCCATAATTTCTCATCTCCTCCATGTCACCCTCACACTGACGACCCATTCTTCGTTTCCCATCCGGATGCCCCTTGAGCTATTGCCTAGAGCTCAAAATCTCCATTTTCCCCCGCATATTTGTTGAGTGATCAGCTCTTGGTTGGTTTGCTTCCAGTCAGAGTTTCTTGTCTCTAATTCTTTCTGGCCAGCAGGCTATTTGATGTTCAATATTGGGCCGTAGAAGGCAGTTTTTGATAAATGCCTGCAAAAAAAAAAAAGAAAAAAAAAGAAAAAAAAGATGTTGCTGGAAATGATTGCTATGATGCACTATGCAAGTTACTGACCAAGACACACACTCTCTCTCTCTATCTGTCTCTCTGTATTATTAATTTCAATATCCTCTATTTCTCATTCATTCAGTGACAGTTATTAGAGGAACCAAGTTAGAACAATTTATTTCATTCTAAACTCGTTAGTTCCTGTATCTACACAGTGTGACTGGGAGTTCTTTCATCAAGAGCGAAATGTAATATCTGTCTTCCTAAATATCAAAACTAAGTTAATGAGTCAAACAAGACAGCTTTCGCGTTTGTAGTACTCGTAATCTCCAGTTGTTAATTTATGTACTCTGAATTGATTAGTTGCTGTTCATATGTTAACATCTTGATGTTTAAAACAATCGATGCTAGAAGTAGTTTGGTGCATAATCCAGAATGTGGACTTCATCCTGTTTAAGACTCATCGTCTGAATGTTCCTGCGTTTCGCAGTCAATGATAGCGTTCCCAATGAGACTGAAACCAAGTACCCATTGTTTCAAATGCCCAATAGACCACTTGGGCCACGGGAGCCACCTTTTCTTATTATAGCTTGATTCCACACCATATTTTTGGTGCAGCTATGGAATTTTCAGCATGCGACATCGGTAGTCCGAATTCGCTAGCCAACCATTGATATCAGGTATGTGTCGGCAGGGGATCGAATCCCCGACCATGTGTATGGTTGACAGGAGTCCTGATCACTGTGCCACCGGCACATTAGTTATTATTTATTTCAGTTCAGTGAATCAATAGCGAAATTAAATCTGACTTAAAAACAAATAATGGTTACTAGACACTGGATTTCACCACTTAATGGGATGAGGATTAACGTATATAATCAGCTAAGACACCTATTAAAAATGTGCCTTCAGACATTCCAGTTTCATAAGAATAAACAATTGGTCCATTGCTGTTAATTACGAAGTTCATTCCCTCAGAGACAAGTAACCATTATATAAAGTATGCCAAAATAATTATTTAGATGTTTAAGTGTTGGTTTGTAGGGATTTGATTGGTTACAGGATTTCATCATGAGCTGACATTGGTTAGAGAACCACTGGAAAACCTGGAAGTACTGGATAGCTGTTTCGTCCTAGTCTGGGACTGTTCATCAGTACGTGCCCCTAGGAGTCACTAGTGACTTGCCCTATTCAGATAGGTAGTTACCTGGGGTTCTAGGGTGCTGCAGGTTGGGTGTGAGGACGAATACTCGCCGAAGACATTTTCTAGGGGTCATGCTATGTCGTGAATTGGCAAAAGTTAGAATCCATGGGCTGGCCATTGGATCGGGTCCCAGTGGCTTAATCGTATACAAGCTCACCTTGTAACCAGTAGGTCCTGGGTTCGACCCTCGATGCGTGCGTACCTCTGAGAAGTCCAAAACCAGGACGAAACAGTTGTCCAGTACTCCCAACGGGTTTTTTAATGGTTCTCTAAGTGATGTCAGCTCATGATGAAATCCTATAATTATTTAGAATTTTACGAGTCGATAGATTGATTGATTGATTTGGCTGCTATCGATCAATGTCGAATACACTAGAAATAACCGAATCGACAGTTATTTTAATGGTCTTTTATCTTTCACTGGTTATCTTTTATTTTTTTTAAATTTATGTCTGTCTGTTTGATTTTAAAATGTCCTAATTGCACCCTTTGACGATTCACTAATTACACACTTTACACTCATCCATCCATCATTCAAAGGTTGAAAAGAAAGTTAAATCATAAAGTTATCTTCCTGAAGTTATTCTCTATGTATATGTATGGAGGTGTATGTGCGTTTGTGTATTGATGCGTCTTAGTGTCGGCCAATATCTACGTTTATATAAGCGCAACTCCTATCAATCACACACTACATGTCTGCTGATTATTTTTTGCCCAAATGTTATACACATGTGATGTGTAATATCCATATCAAAGTTATATTTGTAAGGCTAATTCCTACTGTAAAGAAATATTTTGTACTGTGTATGTTTTTCGATAGTCAATCACTGACTGACCAATTAGGCTTTCCCCCGTTGATTCATTTTTATTTGTTGACAAATGACTGATTCCTGTTAGAATATGTAAAGTGTTGTGTGTATGCATGTGTCAGTGCGTTCCTGTTTAAAGAAAAGCCCATATTTGTGCTTTAATATAGTCATCATTACTGAATGCACTTCAATACGCGAAAACGTAATAATCAGCTCACACCGAATAGAGTTATCATCATTATGTGTAGAGTGTTAACGTTTTCATTTGATCTGTCTGTCTGCCTATCTGCCTATTTATCGTTCACGTCATTTAGTGGTGGTGGACATTAGTAGTAATAAAACAGGTGCAAAACTATGCGTGTGTGTATGTCTGTATGTGTGTATCTGTATGTCTATACATCTATTTGTATTGCATTTATCCAGTTACAAACTTACAAAACACACAAAGATTTAGCAATAAATTATTAGATAAACAAACACACAGTACTATCGTATTAGAAGACTTCTCTTAAAGCTCCGTTGTCTAATTTGTTGACTGCCTAAGAGCTGGAAAAAAACACAACAAATAACCAACTAATGTTCTACGAGTCCACTAGTCAATATGACACTGGTTGTTGTGTTGTGAAAAACACAGTTGAAATTGTTGTTTCACTTCATTCAATTCAAACTAAAGTTGAGTCATCTCCAACAGCAGAGAGACAAACACAGTTGTGATCACCACCCCCTTCACCTTTCTAGTTTACTGAAGAAAAAACAAAATCTATTGGTAAAAAACTAACTTAGACACACGCATACACACACAGACGCACGCATACAAAGACGCGCGAAAGTCGACTAATTTACAGGCATCGAACTTTCTGGGTTTTTTTTCAAAAGCATCAGGAACATAGAGATCATTTGTGGGGAATTATTATCATTGATTACTTTCTTTTTTACATTCAGTGAAGTATTTTTTGCACAGGAGCCTATTTCTGGAATATACACGGAAGGACTTTTATTGAAGGAGACTGCTGTAATTAAAGTCGGTTTATTTTAACACCATCTTGAAACACAACAACAACAAACAAGCGAAAAGACAAATTATATACAAAACACTATCTGTCAATTTCACATGCCAACATCAAATGAAGCCTACCTGTATCCTGAGACAACCCAACAAGAAGACGAAATGAAAATGCGTTCCCCTCTGCCAACAGATCCCAGTCGTACTGAGTCTATGAAGGATTTAGCTGAGACAACAGTTGAACAGAATGGTCTTCGTGAATTTCTCTCTACAGAATCAATCCAATGTGTCAATAATACTGGTAATTCAAAGCTGACGAATATGACAAATATGAATACATCAATGAATAGTATAAATGATGTAACCATGAAATCAGAACAAAGCAATAATTTGACGAATAGTAGTAGTGGAGGTGGGGGTGCTGGGAACACTGGTGGTGGAAGTAGTAAAAGTCAAAAAATGTCTCACCCCGCACATAATCACCATCATCACCATCATAATCATAATCATTCGCATTCATCCCATCAACATCATAACAGTAATGGTGGAGTTGTTGAAAAAATGTCTAGAACAAATTTGTACATAAAAGGATTACCTGAAAATTTTGATGATGATCAACTATGGCAATTACCACCAGATCAAACAAAAATTAAATCGGTTAAAGCGGCTACTGATGAAGATACAAAATGTCGTGGTAAGGAATGTATTACAATTTTGTTACAATTAAACTATGCATATTTCTCTACTGTAAAATTTGGTTACTAGGCGAAAATCGAATTTAAACTACCATAAAATACTGAGAGACTGTTATTAAAGTTAGTAGCAGAGTTCACTGTGTATTTTGATAGATTATAACTGGGGGATTTGTAACAGTAGAAGACGAGAGACTTGGTACTTCTATATAGCTAAATTGGGCACACGTTATCTTCAACCAACCATTTGCATAGATCTACTGTGTTATGCCACTTCTACCCTTCTTCCATATTGCGCTTCTTTGTGTTCTTTTCACGTCTCCCATGTATCTGCGCAAGGCTGTATCATTTATGGTCTCCGACATTAAATCTATCTATCTATCCCCCGTGCTATTTGATATTTTTATGCCGATGAAGGTATCTTTTTATACTAGTGAAGAATCTCAGCAGCACACACCACAGGTTTACACAGTGTTATTCTTTATGACTGTCATAAATAAATTTCGCCAAGATATAATTCTGTTCAAACTTTTAAATGGGTTGGAAGATTTCCAGTAAAGGAAATCATCCGATGAAGTACTATACCTGCACCTAGGCTTTAATTAAACCTCATCACAACGAAAGTGTATAGCTAGTTTTCGTGTCCAATTTTTCTGCTCACATGAAAGATAACTATTCACTCATCTTGACTAATTTGTATTCTTTTGATAAATTCCTCTTCTGGTTCTACAAATATAACTATATATATGTTTATATACATAAAATATTCTAGACTAGTAGTCAATAACAATATTAGTGTTTTTTAAATACTACCGGTTTGTAAAGTAAGATCACAATGGAATTACAGTTCATTAAAGATGCATAGATTATAATAATAATAATAATGATAAAGATAAAGATATAGTAGAGAATAGAATATCAACTAAAATTAGGAAAATTCCACGAAAATTCAGGATCATTCAAACCAAGATGGCCAAGGTAATGATAATGTCTGAACTAGCTTCTTTTGGATGCAATATTTAGTAGTCGAACTCTTAAGGCAAAATTGAGATTCGTAGGTATGCAGTAAATGACCCTGAAAGCATGGATAACATCAATCTTGTGTTCTGTATCCACAAGATGAGTGAGATAGAATAGCGCTGCGAATAGATTTTGTTTGTCATTTGTCTAACCACTGTGCAGAGTGATGTTCGGAAATTCGACGAAAAACACGCCTAATTGTACGGCCTATGTAACTGGCTCCACAGGAGCAGTCGAACTGGTAGATAACATGGAAGAGACGAAATCTGGCAGTTTATCTTTTACTCCCGAATGCAAAATAGCGTTGGTTTTGAAGACACAGCGTAATTCAGCAGCAGGGAACGCTCTTTTTACCGCATTTCTAAGGCGCTGTGTTAGTATTTCGCTAGTGTTGTCTCCAAGGAACTGCGCTTATAAGAAGTTAGTTCAGTCATTATCATTACCTTGGCCATCTAGGTCTGAATGATCATAAATTTTTGTGAAATTTTCCTAATTTTAGTTGATATTCTATTCGCTATTATATTATTATTATTATTATTATTATTATTATTATTATTATTATTATTATAATTTAAGCATCTTTAATGAACTGTAATTCCATTGTGATCTTACTTTACAAACCGGTAGTATTTAAAAACAATAATATTGTTACTGACTACTAATCTAGAATATTCTATGTATACATACATGTGTGTAATTGTTGAGCCAGAAGAGGAATTTATCAAAAAGGATATTCTTTGCTCAATTATTTTGTGTTTTATAGATTACTGAATGACTATTTTTGCTGTATTAACATATATTCTGTTAATTTCTTCCGATTAGATTAATGTATATAACATATAATTGGGGTGGGAATTAGGGTTGAAGGGTAAGGTGTGAAGCAGACATAGACACTGGAAAAACATTATTTACTAACTGTCCGAATACACTAGGGGGTTAACTAGAAATGGAGACTTGACAGCTTTTAATATTGTCGACAGCTTTCTTGATGCCTCTTTGATTTTATGCTTCAAGTACTAGTGGTACATGGGCTGTTGTAACAACAACACAACGAACATTCAGAAACTTGTATGCTTTTTTTTCCCTTCACGTTCCCAGTGGAACATAGGGCATCAAGCTAGTGGCCTGAAGTTTCTGTAGCAGTGTTTAATTTTTACAGGATGACGTTTCTGGCCTCATGCCCAACCTTTCATCTCTACGAGCATTATTTCTGGCTTAGCGAGGTGAAGGAGTGTGTCTGTGGCCGGGGATTGAACCCCGAACCATGTGTGCATGGTCGGCGAGCGTCCTAATCGCTATGCCACCGGCGCACTATATACCTTAAATTCACTATATTATTTGAAAATAATATATTCTCCATTCTGTATTCGGCCTACTGTTTTTCTTCATCGTTGTCCTGTACTTATTTGGTTTCTCTCATATTTATGTTTCTCCTATAGTAGTCTACTCATTAATAGCGAATTTTCATCATTTATTCTAAACTACTAGTCTACACACTACTTATATCTATTTACATACAGCACATGTATATATCTATATAATATCGATTTATTTGTTGTAATTGGACTATAAGATCGAATTTACAACTTTTTTTTTGGCCTACAGTTAAGTATATCTATATCTAAATGATCTAACTTGTAGATAGTGTTATTCATTGAGTGTGTAACTTGGTTCATTATTTCAAAATTAATCAATACAAGAATGGATGACTTTGCTATTGGATTGTGTAACTGACTGTCTCTGTCTGTAACTCATCGATTCATATGGTTAGGTTGAATTCATTATGTAAGGTGGTTAACAGTCAAGCATTCACTTGCATATTCGTCGTATTTCACTGACATAGATTGCTTAAAAGGAGCAGTGATGCTACTGAGTAACAAATCAGTGTAAAATGTTGTCAGAAAATGTCGTATGAAGTTTAAAATAAATAAATATATTGATTAATTCATGCTATCTACTTATTTTAAGTAAAAAAGAATAAACTGAATACAGATCACAGTTTCAGTCAGTGATTTATTGATTTTTATCACTCCTGAACAATCAGGGTTATTTTTCTTCAAATCCCCTTAGTCAGTATCGTATTGCGTACACGAATAACCAAATTTTTAGGGTTTAATGTAAGTAGGTGCAAGCAATCTAATTTTTCTCGGGAAATACAAACTATAGTTAGAAACATTCTGATTGCCAAACTATATGAATTATAGTTGTAATGGCATAGGTTTCAACCAATGCACGCATTTTGTGACAGTTTGTACCCAACTGCTTCCCATTTCGTTTCTTTTTTCTTTACATAAAATGCATCAATAAGACCTCCTTGTATACGTATTTACCTCTGATGACTCTGGAACTCAGAAACTTTAACGAAAAGCACAGCATTATCTAATGAACTAGTAAACCAGAAGTGTCATTTTCTTATACAATATGTATTTCTTCCCTACCATGACTTCATTTGAATCTTCAACCGCACCAACCCCCCCCCCCACTGACCGTCCTATCCGGCGAGGAAATTCAACACGTGAAATATCTGCACGTATTTTTTGATACGAGTTTGACCACGGATTGATATAAGTTGGAGAACCATTGAAAACCAGCTACAGGGAGTACTGCCAGACAGCTGTTTCATCTGCCTAGTTTAGGAGTCATCGAAAGTACGCTGGAGCAGCTGTCCAGTACTCCCGGTTGGTTTTCAATGGTTGTCTAACTGATACCAATCTGTGATCAAATCCGCATAAACATATTTGATCCTTACAAACCAAACTCTCGAAAACTTACGTATTCATTTTCACTAGACTAACATAACTCGGATTAAAAATAAAGATTCTTTTAAAAGAATTTTATATTTTGATGTGATCCTTGCATAAGCTAAAAACGAAACTTTCTGTAGACATTTCCTCATTCACATAAACATAAATATTAGATCAAAGAATAAGTCGATTTTTAAAACAACATTCTACAACGGAACATGCTCAAGTTTTACAATACCCGACTACTTATAAGTAATAACATATTTTAAAATTAATTTTAAATTTTATTGCTTTAATTTCGTAGGGGAACATGAGGCTTCAGGCTAGAGTTTTGAAGTCTCTATAGCAGTGGTGTTTATTTTTAAGGGATGGAAATGTTAGCCTCATAGTCAACCTTCCATTTTTTTATCAGTCTTATGAACGACTTAGTAAGGCAAAGGAGGGCGTCGTCCGGGGATCGAACTCTACCTATGTGCCATTGATGCACAAGTAATAAAGTTAGTTAACTGAAATAAAAAGACTAAGATAAGTTGGTTAAAGAAAGACGTACCACTCGGTTTGAACGATTTCTCATAAGATTCATTTGGAAACATGCAAAACTAATCCTTCTCAAAAGAAGCACTTAACTTGTGTGTGTGTGTTTTTTATTAACAGTCAGTTCAGTGTTGTTTTTTCAGCGTGTACACGTATTCACCTGTCTTATCTATTCATGTGTTTATCTATATTAGTGGATAAGGGCAACGTTGTCCTAAGTAGTGACAGTCGTCCAATATACTTTCATGGGATAACAAGAAGAAATCGTATTTCTTCCCCAGACAGAGTGAAAAAAGCAACATTTCTTTTCGCATGCATAATTCATTAGCGATAGTTGTTTTCCTTTTCTCTCCATGTACAATTCCATGAAATAATAATTACAAATATGCACACCGAATAAAAGTAATCATGTTTTCAGTAATGTAATACACATAAGCCCATACATACCTTAGGACTGCTATTATGAAACATTATTATTATCATTATTATTTTTCGATGGTTGGAGGCGATCAGCAGGAAGCCCCCCCCCGTCACCCCCACCTTGGTGTCATCATTGCTGGCACTCACCCGTCAGCAAGATAATCTTCATTCTTGAAGGAATGCAAGCCCTAAGTTCTAAGGTTTGAACCCAAATAACTCAGTACTGCATAGTCAGATACTTTGGCACTGAGTTCATTGGGCACATGACTGACCTCCTGTAGGAC